CCAATAGCACTGAAGGAATTGGGGCATTGGAGAGCCCAGCAGTAGGGTGTAAGGACAGACTCCAGAAGGGCATCAGAACAGGAGAGCAGCTGAAGATCACTAATGCAATCAGGATAAGGGAGATAAGGAAATGAGCGAGAGAAATATTAATAGTCCTAAGAAAAGACTATTACGAGTTCTCGCTGCGAGGCTTGTGAGCAAAACCAAGTATGACCAACCCCAATTTTGTGACTATCACAATTCAAGGAAAGTTTCAAAGCAAAAAGACATTTAATTCTTTGTTCACATGGTCGTTTTAGAAAACTTAAATGCCAAAAAGCACAAGAAAGTAAATAGCAATGATCTGTAATCCACCAATCAGATACAGTTTATTGATGTTTGGTTTTATAAACATATATTTGACTACAGGTATCACATGGTATACAGCTTTAAAATCAGTTCTTTTCACTTAATACCACAAGATGAGAATAAAAATATTATCTTCAGAATGTCTGGTGCCACGGATGCTGCAAGAGACAAGGACAGATTCTCCTCGACAGCCTTTAGAGAGCGCAGTAGCCCTGCCAACACCTTGACTTCAGGTGTCTGACCTCCAGAACCCAGAGAATAGTATATAACTACATATGTATAATAATAAATATGTATTTACATATAATACATATTTTACAATACATGTATTTTTCCCTTTAAAAATGGAGCCTTTAGTGGCTGCATAATATTCCCCTTCCGGACTTATGCAATGATTTAGTTAGCAATTTCCCATGTTAGATACAGATTGTCTCTGAATTGTCACCGTCATGACAGTAACAGTGTCACACTCTGCAATAATCATTCCTATATATAACTCTTTATTATACCATTTCCTTAGGGCAAATTTCTAAAAATAAAGGTACTAAATCAAAGGGCCTGAACACATTTTGACAGTGTCAGTCCTTTCTGAAAAGCTACACTAATTTACATCATCACTGCCACACACAAAGCACCCACCTTATTGCCTTATCACCAGCACTGAACATTTTTATCCTCAAAGCAGAAATTACTATGAAGCTACAAAAAGTATATGAAAGTATCTCCAGAAAACAACTTCCACCCCTTCCAAACTGCCCATCTTAAAACTAAATGCCCCTGGAAACGAAGAAGACTGCAGATGCACACAACGGTTTATCAGGGAAATGTTTAAACTGCATTGGAAAAATAACTCAAAAGTGCACGCTGTACTGACAGGGGTCTTGAAGCATCAGTTTTCACCAAATCCTGTTCTATGATTGAAATATACATTTATTGCAATGGATTGAATTTGGAATAATGGAGACCTCCAATCTTGGTTAAATTATATAAAACCATTTTGTACCTTCCTGAAGTCATAATGTAGACTGATTTTAATGCTCAATGAAAATCTGAGGTTGCCACATCAAACTGACATTACCTTCTCTGTGCCAATTATAAGAAATAATTTTCTTTACAACCCCAGTATTTTGGCAAAACTAGTAAGCATTTTAAAAGAAGGAATGCAAAATAAAGATATGTATTAACCTCTAAAGAACTGACTTGATATGATTTCTGCACATCTTTTTGATCAATATTCCAACACTTCCAAGTTTTTTGCTTTTTTGGTTTTACTATAAGTACAAGTCGATTCAAAGCAATTTAGGGAGAAAGTAACACCAGTGCTTCAATATCATAAAAGGCCCTCTAAAGATGTTTTATAATCAGCCTGAAAAGTACTCAATGACATGGATAAAAGTGGAAATAAAACTAAATCACATGTTTAATCTAAATTATCTATTTTGAAAATTCAGTGACCAACAAGTTATTTCTACCTATAAGACAAAAAAATACTTTAAACTCATAAATTATAACTGATGAGACAAATAATTATGGGTCTATTACTCATATATTAATTTTTATAAAGTCTATAAAATTAGAGAAATTTTAGGAATTATTTTATCAATTGTAAAATACAGGAAATGATATGATACTCTAAATATATACAAACAAATCTTGTAAATCTCGGTAAGATTTTGACAACTGGTTAGTCTTTACAGGACAACTTGCTTAGGGAACGCACACGTATAACACACTAAAAATCAGAAAGCTAAATGTACCATCTCTCTTACACAACTGGCTAGCCAAATTCTAAAATTATTTTTCCTCAAAATTTTCAATGCAATCCAAAGTAGAAATATTAATACATGTTCTGCTCAAGTTCTCAAAAACTTCCAACCCTAAAAAGCTGGAGAAATTCTCCTAGATCCTGAATTGTTCATTCAGTACAATTAGAACCAAAGAAGCATCTCAGCACAATTATTTCAGGGGTAGGCATTCTAAACTCTCAAAAGCAGCTAAAATACACTGGTTGATAAAAGGAATTCATTTCAAAACCAGAAAGACAGAAAAAAAACAAACTTGGATTCTGCAATGTGGAAGAAAGCCCAAACCACCCTCATGATCTATGAAATAAACTATTTTCCCTTAATGATGATTGGACTCATTTTCCCATGTCAGTTCTACGGCCACCATAAATTACAACAAAACACATTTTTCCTCTCTTGTCATTATGTGTATATATATGTTGCATGTGTGTGTTCTGTTTACCAGAGTCCACTGCCAACCTTTTAAAACGTGTTTAAGAGCAAGCTGCTGATACGATGGGTGGACAGGGAACGGGTCAAGAGTGGTGGTTTTGCGTAATGCTGGGCACATTAATGGCACTCACCAAATGCCCTATTTATTTCACTTGTGGCTTTCAGGGTTAGAAAGAATAAAAAAAAGAGGGGTTAAGAGTTTTTCAAGAACAAAATATAAACCAAAAATAGGAAATTAGGTAAAATTACCTGGATCGTTCAGGCCACTTTAATTTCTCTTCCTCAATTTCTGACATTATAAAGCCCCTCTCTTCATGGTCTTGTCTGTTTTGGTACATGACATCTCTTGGACAACTTGGGTTCTGAAATCTTCCTGCCTGTCCCTTATTTTTTAAATAACAAGTGTTTTACTAAAAAATACCGATACTTTCTAGAGCCACATGCCATTCCTACCTGAAAAGGAATACTGTCAGGGTAACAGGACAAGTTAGAGGCAGCAACTGGACTGCAACGGCCTGTGATTATATAGCAATTATCACACACAACCTCACAAGGACGGAGGACAGCCCAGGAACCAGGCACGCAATCCCTCAGTCCTGGCAGCAGTTAAGATATAGGTTAGGAGGAAAAATGTGACTTTTCTGTACTTAACTTTAAGTGGGTATGATTTTTAGGACATTGAACCTCTTTTGCTACCTACCAAAAGGAAAAAACAAAAGTTTTCTCAACTAGGTGAATGAAGAAAGATGGTTTCCTATAATACTCTAACCCCGAGAAGCAACCAGATTGCACATCTAGCTGATACAGAAAGATTTCTGAAGCAGTGATGATCTTGATATGAAGTGAATTAGTTCAATATAGTAATTCCTAAAAAAGCAAACTTGTCATTATTTTTAAATTTTTTTAAGTGGTAGGGAAATAAATAGCAAAGCAGCCAGTAAGGTTCGAGAAAAGCAACATGCCATTCGACTCTCCATCTATTTGGAAAAAGAAATGTTAGTAGTATTCCTACACTTGTAATTAGAAAACTTGCAAGTAAACAAATCTTCAAATAGCATTTTATAATAAAATAGAAAATATCCTCGGGTGAGAAAGCAATTTTGGCTGACTGCAATTCGCTTACGTTTTCACTACTGTACAGCTGGGTGAAGAGTAAAATCTCCTATTTACTTTGCATTGTTCGGCACAGTCTCGCTCCTCTACCTTCTCCAAGTAAAAGTTTCCATTTTCCAAGTGGACAATGTGTAGAGAAGTTGCATGGATTAATGAATTCCTATGCAATTTTGGTTTCACTATCAGAGTTGAAGTTTGCACACAACACAATGTTTCAACAATGATCTCAACATCCTAATGCTTTAGAATCGGTTAACCCTCTGTGTTCACCTATATCAGGATGCAATCAATATCTGTGAATCTTTTCGGGTCATCTTAAGGCGTGCACTTTGCTACATCTGCACACACACTCTCAAGTTCCTCTAAAATCTTTAAGAACTCAACTGTGTGGGATGTTTAAAAAGTACGCCAGAAATAAGTTCTTGGACTTCAGATAATGTACCTGCAGAAAGAGTCATTTGGTAGGAGACCACAAATATCCTACTACAGAATTCTGAAACGCTTGTTCCTGAGTCCAAGTCCCCTTCTGCCCAATCTACTGAATTTTGTTTCCACCGAAGGAACGCTCCGCAGCCGCAAAACTTTCACCGTGATTATGGACGTACCACCTACAATGTGTGCTCAGAAGTCAAAGTCCTATGAAAACACCCTCGATGAGCATTTTGGTGAATTGTTGCATTTTTAACCCTCTTATTCTGCTCCCCCCATCTCCACGGCCCCTAAATTCACAAGGGCTCACCTCCCAGGTTCGGGGTCTTTGACTCAGCAGAGAAGAATGTGGCTGATGAGTTATCTATTAATCCAAAAAACCTTGGCTAGAAAGGTATTTCACCAAGAACTTTTAACACAGAAAGGGAGGGGACACGGAACAGAGGTATCTTTTAACAAGAACTTTTTCCCGAGTTTCTTCCTTAAACTACACCCCCCACACCGCCCCCGCAATCCACACACAATTTCCAGCCCCAGCCCTAAGTCCTGACCCTCCGAGTCCCAATCATCCGAGTTCACCCAGGAGTCAGCTCTCGGTTCCACTTTTTAAATCCCGGGCAAACAAAGCTGAGCATTATACTTACAAAAGTCTCCGAAAAGTCCTTGGAGTTACGCAATTTGGGGCACGCAGACGCGCGTGGACACAAAAACACACACTCCCGAGATCCACCCTCCCCGGGCCACAGTGCCGGGCTGCGTCCGGGACACGAGCCATGCCCTAACCTTCCATCGCCGAGCCCCGGGCCCGCGCCCCTTCGGCCGCCCGCACTGGGTCCCGGGTCGCCCCCGCCACCGCACAGAGCCACCCCGTACCTCCTCCTCCTGAAGGTTGGCCTCGCTCGGGGTGTTCTCCTTCTCGGCTTTGCCGCCGTTGTTCATCTTCCCGGTCCTTACTCGCCGGGCCGGGCAGGGCTGGGGGGCCGGGCTGGGCGAGGGCGCGCTCGCCCACTGTTGCCTTCCCCAGGCGCCGGGGCTCCCTCGGGCGGGCGCCGCGGACTGCGGGGCTGGAGCCGGGGCAGTGGCTGTCGGGCTTGGGCTGGGGATCCCGCGGCGAGACTGCGACGGCGGCGGGCGACTCAGGAAATGCGAGGGAGAGACGGGGCAGGGCGCGGGCCGGGAGCGGGGCACCGAGACAATCGGGCCCCGGGAGGGTGACCTGGAGAGGGAGGGCGGGCGCCCGGGGAGGAAGGAAGAAGGAAGGAAGGAAGCGAAGGATGGGGCGAGAACGCGCGTCCCAGGAGTGAGTGCGGAGAGTTGGGGATGAGGCCGAGTTGGGACAGGGAGCTAGAGCTGCTGGAAGGAGGGGACGGGGATGCCTAGAGAGGAGGAGGAGGAAGAGAAGTTGGAGGAGGAGGCGGGCGGAGGGGCGCGGGCCGCAGCTGGGACGCGGGGACCTGAGAGCCGCTGAGTGCGCGCTCCAGGCAGGCTCTGGGAAGTCCGGGATGGAAGCAGCTCCCTTTCTCTCGCCTTCCTCCCTCCCCCCTCCCCTCCCCTCCCCTCCCCTCCCCTCCCCTCCCTCCTCTCGCGCCTCTCCTCCTCCCTCCGCCCTCCCTGGACGTGGGCTGCTGGCCGCCACCGGGAGGGACGGGGCGCGGGACGGAGCCCCCCGCGGGAGGAGGGGCCGGCGGCCGGATGGCGCGCGCCGGGGAGGGGCCGCGGGCCGCGGGCGGAAGAGGCGACCCCAGCCCCCGACTCGGCGGCGGGTCGGAGGGCGAGGGCCAGGGAGGCAGAGGGCAGGGAGGTCGGGGCCCGCGGTTCCCTCCGCTCCTGGGGGCCCGGCATCTGCGCGCCGCGGGACTTCGGGGACCCTGCCCCACCGGGGCCCGGACCCGGAGCTGGAATGTGAGACTTTCGTTTGCCGGCTTTTACCGAGGGATTTGCACCCCTGGCCCTAAGCCCACCCTTCCCGGGGCAGACCAGGTTCTTCCTCTGCTGCTTTAATGACAGGATGAGAACTCGAAAGACACCGGCGCAGACCACTCCCGGCCGGCCTTTTCAGGACGGGGTTTCAAACCGAACTCCAGCGGGGGTCCTGCGACACGCCCCGAGCCTTCCCCGCACCGGCTTCGCTTTCTGGGCTTCCCGCGCGACCCCCGACTCCTCTCCCAACTCTCATCAGACCCTTCTGGGATTGTTTACCTGGCCTCTCCCTTCGGAGAGCTCCTTCCAGGAAGAAAGAAAAAAACTAAACCCTGCCCTATTTATCTTTTTAATCCCACGGCTATTTAAACGGGCTACCGAGTATATAGCAGGCACTCAAATATTTGTTGGCCAAGCGAATATTCCTCATTGCAAGCGGAGCTGGGGGTCCTTATGGAGGAACTTCAGAGGCTGGAAGCACGCTTAAAGAAAAGGGGGTCTGGGATTTGCACCAGCTTCGGAGGGGTTGCGTAGCTTGTTTCCTCATCCGTGAAATGGAACAGTTGAATATGTCCTCCAGAGTTTTCGAGGAGCCTGCAGGTTTGAGAGCTATTTGCAGCACCCAGCATTCATTCTTCGTTTAGGTTTACAATACATGGAAGCTAACATTATTATTAAGGAAACTTTCATTTTTTTTCCCGGGCCTTAGAAAACTTTTCCAATACTCGATCATTTAAGCTTCTATTTTTTTTGTAAAAATGAGGGTCTCACTTTGTTGCCCAGGCTGATCTCGAACTCCTGGCCTCAAGTGATCCTCCCGCTTTTGGCCTTCCGGACGGGTGGAATTACAGCCTGGAGCCACCGTGTTAAACCCTTAGATTTGACTGCTACAAATGAATAAATGTGGAATTACACGTATCAGTGGGTTCTGCCCCACTTCTCCCCGGATTTCTCAGTCCCAGCCTGCTGTTCTGTCCTGCACCCGTCACAGTTTCTAGCTACAGTATTTGCTTAACTGTTTCTCCCCATCCCCCTCCAGACATTCTTTATACTGGTTTAAGTGCTGCTGGGGATAGGGTGGGGGAGGCTGTGGGAGATGCAGATAAGGTCCTGCCTGTAGGGAGTTTAAAGTGGGATGGTGGCTCACACTTGCAATCTCAGCACTTAAGGAGATAGAGGCAAGAGAATTGCTTGAGCCCAGGAGTTCAAGAACCGCCTGGGCAACCAAGCGACACCCTGTTCTCCACAAAGAGGGGGAAAGAAAGACAAAAAAAAGTGGAGTGGAGCCAAGATGCTCTCAGAGTCTTCTTTCCAATTATAAAAAGCAAGGAAAATATTTGCTGTAAGGTTATTTTGAAGAGAAATACAGTAGTGATACTTGGATTTTTCAGATTGGGTTTATCTGGGGAGTTTGGAGATTTTGAAACAGGAAGATTTCCACAGGGGAAAAATGTTTTTTAATTGCTGTCATAATGTGATTTCTCTCTAAGGGGAACAAACATGTATCCTGGATGAAAATAAACCTAATCTATTGAAAGTACAACCCAAGACATTCAGAAGAGACAAGGCTACAGTGAATCTGGAAACTTCGCAGGTGTTTGGATGTATCGATTACCTTAACTAGGAGCCCTTTGCACTGCCTGCTCCTCCCTCAATTACATGAGGAACCACGAGGGGGCAATGTCTTCCTGAGCAACAACCGAGTGGTGGTCTTAAGACCCCATGGTGGCCCACTGTGTCCTTGGCCATTCTTGCCTGGCACGGAGTATACTCCACAGAAGGGCATGGTCTTGTTGGAGCCTGGCATGTGCCCAACAAAAATGACAATGTAGTCCATAGTTCCACTGAGACCCCACTTAGGAGCAGGTGGACTCCGTTGTGTGATTTCAGGATGCCCGGAGAACCTCTCCTGTTCCCACCCAAGGAAGCATGGCTTAATTCCAAACAAAGAAACTGATTCTCTTTGTCTTTAAGCCAAACCGGGACTTTGTCCATTGTTAAAAGTCAAAAATCTCTGGGATAAGCAACAAAAATAAGTTCCAGGCTGGGCGTGGGGGCTCACGCCTGTAATCCCAACACTTTGGGAGGTGGGCAGATCACCTGAGGTCAGGAGTTCGAGACCAGCCTGGCTACCATGGCAAAACCCCGTTTATACTAAAAATACAAAAAATTGGCTGGGCACGGTGGCTCACGCCTGTAATCCCAACACTTTGAGAGGCCGAGGTGGGTGGATCACGAGGTCAGGAGATCGAGACTATCCAGGCTATCACGGTGAAACCCCGTCTCTACTAAAAAAAATACCAAAAAAAAAAAAAAAATTTGCTGGGCATGGTGCCGCACGCCTGTAGTCCCAGCTACTCAGGAGGCTGAGGCAGGAGAATTACTTGAACCAGGAGGCAGAGATTGAAGTGAGCCAAGGTGGCGCTACTGCACTACAGCCTGGGCAACAGTGGGAGACTCTGTCTCAAAATAAATAAATAAATAAAAAATTAGCCAGGCTCGTTGGTTTACACCTGTAATCCCAGCTACTCAAGGCAGAAGAATCGCTTGAACCCAGGAGGTGGAGGTTGCGGTGAGCCAAGACAGCGCCATTGCACTCCAACCTGGGCAACAAAAGCGAAACTCCATCTCAAAAAAGAAAAGAAAAAAGTTCCAGGAAAGGATCCTTGTCTGTCTTATTCACTGTTGTAATCCCAGCATCTAGACAGTGCCAAACACATAAGAGGCACTGTTATTTTTGAATGAATGGGCATTTTAAGTCTGATCAGTTAGTTATTCTCAGGCCTAAATGTTATTATCGGATTTTTCCAAGATCCATCAGAAAGAACTAAATAAGTGGAGGTGTCTTAGAACAGATAGTCACCGCAATGGCACTAGGCAAGGTCTTGGCAGTAGTTTTTGGTTTTGGTTTTGGTTCTTGAGACAGATTCTGGCTCTGTCACCCAGGCTGGAGTGCAGTGGTGTGATCTGGGCTCACTGCAACCTCCCCCTCCCTGGTTCAATCTATTCTTCTGCCTCAGCCTCCCCAGTAGGTGGGACTACAGGTGCACACAACAACACCCAGCTAATGTTTTTGTTTGTTTGTTGTTGTTTGAGGCAGAGTCTTGCTCTGTCACCAGGCTGGAGTGCAGTGGCACAATGTCAACTCACTGCAACCTCCTCCTCCCAGGTTCAAGTGATTCTCCTGCCTCAGCCTCCTGAGTAGCTGGGACTACAGGCACAAGCCAGCACGCCCAGCTAATTTTTTTTTTTGTATGTTTAGTATAAACGGGTTTTCCCCATGTTGGCCAGGCTGGTCTTGAACTCCTGAACTCAGGTGATCCACCCACCTCAGCCTCCCAAAGTGCTGGGATTACAGGTGTGAGCCATCATCCTGGCAGTGGTCTTTATTCATGAATTTTGCAGGGGACCCTAGATAGAGAACTTGTGCAGAATGGAGCAACTGATAAGGTTTCAAACAGTAAAAGATAAAATCACACCATTGAATTTGACATCAGACAATAAAATCGACACTGAACCAGGGATGGCTCTATTACATAGGCAGTGGTGAGAGTGACATTCAGGGTGTTTTCAGAAAAACTTACGGGGTTGGGATAATACGACAGGAAAAGAGCGATTCCTGTTTTTTGTCATTTCCGTGAAGAATAGTTGAGCTATTTGAGAGAGCAATAATGTTTTACCAACAAAACACAAGGAAAATCTGTAAACAGACTTTTGCAATGTGATTGAAGGAAAAATTTGAGTTTGTGTGAGGGAGGAAAATATACCTTCAATCAGGGTATAAAGGATCATTACGGGCCAGTCGCAGTGGCTCACACCTGTAATCCCAGTACTTTGGGAGGCCGAGATGGGTGGATCAAAAGGTCAAGAGATCGAGACCATCCTGGTCAACATGGTGAAACCCCGCCTCTACCAAAAATACAAAAAATTAGCTGGGCATGGTGGCACGTGCCTGAACCCAGGAGGCAGAGGTTGTGGTGAGCCGAGACCATGCCATTGCACTCCAGCCTGGGTAACAAGAGCGAAACTCCGTCTCAAAAAAAAAAATAAGGATCATTACAACTTGTTTACTACTTTAAAGAAAGATTCCAAAGTAAGATCTCAGTAGCAAAAGTTCCCAGGCATCCTGAGAATTATAAGACAACAAGGAGATTTTATATCCTGGAATTGTTGTGCTGAAGACCAGAAAAATCTGCTTTCCCCCTGTCCTAACACTCTTACCTATGGTATTGCCTGACCTTCGAGGTTACCTTGAAAGGGGAATATTGCATATTGCATACACCTGTAGTTTTTTATTACTCACCGATGTTTCTCTGGCAGTGCTCATTTCGAGGATTGCCAAACCTATAATTATGTCTTAAATGTTTGCCTTTGGGGACTGTAGACATTAAAGGTCTATTTTGAGGTGATTTGCAGGGCATGGGCTTTGTATCTGTGCTAGCTTTGCAGCAGAAAGCTGCAGTATCTACCCTGTGTGTTGTGATTGTCTATTAACCCTTTGGCTGAGCCAAAAAGTTCTTGAGGCCAGAGGGGCTGTTTCATTGGTTTTGTCATCCTTGATACCTCTCCCCCTCACCTTGTGCCTACTCACTTCCAAGTCATCGC